AGAGAAGAGGGAGAGAAGAGGGAGAGGAGAGGGAGAGGGAAAGGGAGAAGGAGAAGGAGAGGAGAGGAGAGAGGAGGGGGAGAGCGAGAGGAGAGAGAGAGAGAGGGAGAAAGGAGGAAAGGAGACAGGCACTTTCATAAAGACTCAGAGGGACCAAGGCAGAGGCAGAAAAAGGCGAGGTGAATGCAGCGACTGTGACGCAAGACCAGAGTCAGCGACAGAGACTCGGACTTAGATGCAGACAAGGCTGACCCGGAAAGGGCCGCCTCCTCGGGGGACCCCGAGGCTGTCCCTTGGAGGGGCAAAGCCAGGAGCTCCCCCCACCCCGCCCCCGTCGTGCCTGGGCCGTGACTTCAGAGTCCGCGCGGATTCTATAAATGGCCAAGCTGTCGCGGCCCGGGGGGCGGGGCCGAGTGAGTCAGCGCCTCGCGTCACCGCCGCGCGGACCCTGCTCTTCCCCTTCGCGGCCGCCAGGGGGCAGCCGCCGCGCTGCCAAGTGGGCGAGCGGCGCTGCACGGCCGTGACCGGTGGCCCTTCCAGGGGGTCAGCGGGCAGGAGCCAGGAGCTTGCGTGTTCGCTATGAATCCGTGCATTCCCGGGGTTTGGCATCTCTGTGACTCACTTTTCCCCATTTGTCGAATGGGCAATGCGCCCCGTAGATCCCACTTCATCCAGCTATTGTGAGAAGTGAGTTAATAGATCGAAAACACATGGCAGGTACTAGTTGTTAGCTCATTGTGTATTTGAGACATTATAAACGCCATCAGCTTGTCCTTAGCATATAACCTTAGGCTCCCTCCCTCCAAGCCCCCCACCCTGGGAAAAACCAACACCCAAATCATATTAGAAGTGTGTCCCATTGAGTTGTCAATGGATGATTTTTCCGTGGTGCCTCTAGATGAATCCAAATCACCAAATTCCACTTAACAGTAAAGCACTTTATTGTTTGCACCATCTAGGGACTCCACTATCTTTACCCAGTGGTAATATTTTTTGTGCCTCGCTATGAGTCCCCTACAACTCAACAGCACTTAACAACAACAACCACAACCATCAAATTGCATCTGACTGGTACAGGCGGAGATTGCCCCGTCTACACCAGCAGAACATCTGGTGAATTCAAACCACATACCTCTGGGATTGCAGTGCAGCTTCTTGCCACTAGGCCACCAGAAACTCCCTTACCCAGTGGTTCTTAAAGTGTTGTGGTCTACCTCCATTTAGGGGCATTTGGCAATGTGTAGAGACATTTGTGGTGTTGGAGAAGAGTACTGCATATCCCATGGACTGTCAAAAGAACAAACAGATAGATATTGGACAAGGTGCAGCCAGAGTGCTCTTATGAGGCAAAGATGCCAAAGCTTTGTCATGCCTACGTGGGGCATGTTGTTAGGAAAAGCTGTTCCTTGGAGAGGGACATCGTGCTTGGAAAGGTGGAAAGACAGCAAAGGAGAGGAAGATCCTTTCACCACTGGGTGGGTTGACACAGTGATGGTAGCAGTGGGTTCGAGTGTGTCAGAAATTGTGAGGATGGCACGGGACAGGACAGGGTTCAGATCTGTTGTTCACAGGGTCACTATGATTAGCACTAGACTCAACGGGACCTAACAATAACAACAACAACAACAGAGATGTTCGTTCAGTTTGGGGAGCAGTAGTTTCATCTAGAGAGCAGTGGCTAAGGGTGCTGCTGAAACCTTGAAGGCTGATAGATCCTGCCTTAGTCTCAGAGCAGTTAAGACAAGGTCCTGGGTTCAAATCCTGCTCTGCCACTGGAAAACAGTATGACACAGAGGAAATGATTCCACATTCCTCCCATGCCTCAGTTTCCCCATTTGTAAAGTGTAAATAATCAGCATCACCCTATGAGGGTTGGTAGGCTTGAGTTGATACACGTGAAACACTTTGACCAGGAGCTGGCAAGTGGCTAGGGCACAGCTATGCCCGCTGCCTATGGCCAGCGAACTTGCGTGTCCTTGACACAGCATTACTGCATGACAGGTCATTGTCATCCGAGTATTACTGGCACCGGCGTGACACATGTGGCCTGGCATGGGCATGTCCTCCCCTCCTGCCTTCCAGGCTGACTAGGACAGCTGTTGAGGGCATGGGCATGGCACTAGCCCAGTCACTCTGCAGTTCAGGTGAACCCTGGGTAGGGGGCCAGATCTCTGATCCTCTAAGGTCTTATGAGGGTCTGGGGGAAAGGACTGGGGGCCAAGTCCTTGGCAGGACTAGTGGCTCTGTCTGTGCATGTATTTAGGTGCTGGACACAACACAGGGATTGTATTCCCTCTGGTCTTCACAACATACTCATGAGGCAGGCATTATTATTAGCCCATTTTGCAGCTGTGGAGACAGAGATCTAGGAGGAGAAAGGACTTGCCTAAGTCTACAGACTGTTGGTGCTTAAACTCCAGGATGGAGCCTGCCAAATGACCACAGGCAACAGTCCTGCCACCAAGGGGTGAGAGGCAGTCCAGAGAGACAATGAGAGATGACCCCAGAGCCAGAGAGATACTTTTAGAGACAGAAACAAAGAGATTCAGAGACTCAGCGGCCCAGTGGATGGGGTGGGGGGTTGGGAGACCCGGGGTATGCCTGGTGTAGGTTTGGCCAAGCCCCCCCACCCCAGGAATAACGCAGGCTGCCCCCTTAGGTGGAAACAATGACACAATCAGCTCCCAATACCAAGGCCCTGACATCACAAGTGGGGTGGCTGAGGTGGGGGGCGCCCCTCCCCTTGGCAGGGCCCTGCGGCCAATGGGACCGAGCTAGGAGCCGCCCGGGCCGCCTCTGGAGCTTCAAAAACGTGTGAGGAGAGAAGAGGGTGCAGACGCATACGGAGTTCCAGCGGCTGCCTCGGTCCTGATCCTGGTCCTGCCCTCGGTGTCCGCCTGCCCCACCAACCAGCATGTCCTCAGCTCACTTCAACCGCGGCCCCGCCTACGGGCTGTCAGCCGAGGTCAAGAACAAGGTAGGATCAGAGGGCACCCAGGAAGCCCCTCCTGACTAGTCCATGTACCTGGGTGCCTGAGCAGAACAGACAGGGGGTGGGGGCTGTCCTCTCCCTTTCACGAGCACCCCAAGCCCTCAGGATGCTGAGGGGGGAGCTGAATGGAGAATGTGAAGGCAGACACATCAACAGAGACCCCCACGTGCTCAGAGCCAGCTAACCCTGTGTGTTTCTGGAAAAGATATGAGACCATGCGAAGACTTCTCCCACCCTCCCAGCCTGACATAGGCTGGAGGAGGGGCTTGAGGACTCAGGTTCCCAGGGAGTGAGTTCTAGAAAGTATAGGGGATCATAAGGGGAGAAGAAGGCAGTGGGGAGAGGTGGAGGGGGCAGGCATTACGCATGAGGCAAGGAGCTCTTGTGAGGGGTAAACTGAGGCTCAGAAAAGAGAAACCTGCACCCAGGGTCCAAGGAGAGGTAGGTCTATAGCCCTGACCTGGATGCAGGGTCATGACAGGGTCAGCCTGTCCAGGGGAGGGACTTTGACGTCTGCACCCCACTGGGATGCTCCCAGGAGTAGTGCCAGGGGAGGAGTCGCAGCTGCATTTGAGTTTGACAGATGGAACACTGATGCCACGATGAGTGGCTTTTCCCAGGATCCCCTGTGAGAGAGACAGGAGCTGGGATTGGAGTCTGAGTTGGGGGATCCTTGGGGCTGGAGGAGGGGGGATGGTTGGGACATAGATGGCAGCACCCCCCCCCCCCACTCCAGTGCCGGCCACAGCAGAGCTGCCGCTCCATATAAGGTGGCTTCAGGGAGCCCGCCCGCCACACGAGCTATATAAGGGCTGGTTTGCTTTATAAAGTCAGCCTGGTGGGGAAGCGGGGGTGGCAGGGCCAGGTGAGGGGGCTGCTGCCCCCACACCCTCTCACCGTCCTACGGAGGAGAAGGGGGCATCCCGGCCTCCTGGGGGCTGGGAGTTTGTTAGGTTGGGGTGGAGAGTTGTCCAGAGAGACAGAGAGAGATCAGAGGCGAGCAGGGAAGGAGGGCAACAGGAATGAGAGACGGATGGAGAGCCGGAAAGGCCTCCCCTCCCCCATCAGTCCCTCCCCTGCAAGAGGCAGGGAACCTGAAGTCAGAGATGGAAGGGCAAGAATCCCAGCCCCCCACTTAGAGACCAAGCACAGAGCCAGAGAGATGGGGGTACCCCCAGGATGCAGAAAAGACAAGGCAGATGGAGACAGAAGAGTGGTTGCTGAGGAAGAAGACTGAGTCACACACACATACACACACACACAAGGGGTCAAGACAACAATGAGGACTGGCAAGCCCCCACCCCCATCCTGAGTTAGATCGGGGTGATACTGAAATGTAAGTCAGCCAATACTGGGGGCACCTCCTTCGGTCTCCTGCTCCCTTCATGAAGCATCCCTTCTTCCAGCAGGGGGTGCGGTGAAGGGGTAGAGGGTAGAGGAGGCAGGTCCTGGGGAAGTTAAGCCCCAAGTTTGGCCTGAAGGGGGAACCAGGAGGCCCCTGAGTCTCCCCCTTGCCTGCACTCTCTGGTGCCAAACCTCAGAATGCCTGGAATGGCCCCCTGGGCAGGTGCCACCTCCCTCCTGGCCCTCAGCCCCCCCAGCCCCCCCACGGGTGCAGAATTGCCTTAGTTGGGAAGGAGAGACGGTCTAGGGAGTCTGTGATTGGGCCCAGGGAGCCAAGCCCACTCCGCAGGGCATCCTCACCACCTTCTCTGTGCCTCCCACCCCAGCTGGCCCAGAAGTACGACCACCAGCGGGAGCATGAGCTGCGCGAGTGGATCGAGGGGGTGACCGGACGTCGCATCGGTAACAACTTCATGGACGGCCTCAAAGATGGCATCATTCTTTGCGAGTGAGTGTGACGCGTGTGGCCTTGGGCTGTCCCTCAACCAAGGCCCAGGTCTCTAATCCCTCTACCCCAGTACCTCCAAATAGTCTTCTGAGGTGGTAAGCAGTCATTGTGCCCATTTCACAGACAAAGAAAACTGAGGTTCAGTTAATTAAAGTGTTTAGCCCAAAGCGCCACACTGTCCTGACCCAGCCAGCTCCATCCACACCTAAACTACAGAGCCACCCAGGGCCGTGCTCTCTGTGGCTTCCAGAGTCACAAGGAAGAAATTTCATGGCTTCAAGACAATGCTTCACAGCCAAGGCTGTTTATCCCTGGCTTGGCGATGTGACAGGTGTGTCACAGTAACTTAAGTGGGGCCTCATTCCTTATTCATCTCAAAACCTTGTCACCCAGAGATGTGCACACTTCACACCTCCCAAGACTGAATTCCATCCCAGAGAATGCTGGAAGGGGCCCTGACCCTCCCCGTCCAGGCCCCAGCTGTACCTTCGAGTGAGGCTTGGGTGGAGGTGACCATGTAGGCCAGCGTGTCTGTGGGAGACTTTCTAAAGGCGTGGTCTCAGCAAGTCACAAGTACTAAGGAGAGATCTCTCCCATCGTACCTATCGGGGACAAGGAATGAGAAGACAGGGCAACGTGTGGGTCACCTTGTGTCCCAGCACAGACGTGCGGCCGCTCCAGCCCGAGAGTCACTCATTCATTCCTGTAACGTGTCTGTGGAGCTCCTGCAGAGTGCAGGCGCCGCGTACCGGCCAGAGTCTCTATGCTCGTGGCGTTTTGGCCCCAGTGACGGGAGATGGACAGCGAACAAGGGACCCAGGAAGCACGTACTTGACAGCAGAGATACGTGCTGTCTGTCTTCAGTAGAAGGGTCTCGAAGGCCTGCAGAGCTAACCTTTAATCAGAGCTTTGGATGAAGAGATGGAGGGAGCTGTGAGGAGATCTGGCGGAAGAAAGTTCCAGGCAGAGGAGGCAGCCTGTATAAGGCTCTGAGGTGGGGTATTCAGTGAGGTCAGGTGAGCCAGTGAGGCCAGGACGTGAGGAGACGGAGACGTGGAGGGAGACGAAGTCCGGGAGTTAACTGGGCGCCTCTGTCATGTTACCCAGGATCGATGCTAAGGTGTTGGGATTATATGCTGATGCTGATGAAAACCACTGGAGGATGATGATCTAGAAGCAGCCAGAATTGTCTGTTCAAGGCCATTTTGGCTGTTGGTTGAAGGGTCTGCAGGGGTCACGGTGGAAGCCAAGAGCCCCTGGGAAGGCCACTGTCAGAGCCCAGGCCAGGGCTTCTGCAATAGAAGGTCCAGGCCAGTGTGGAGGCAGCGAGAAGTCAGCTCTTGATGCATCCAGGAGGCAGAGCTGAAGATCTCGCTGAGGGAGGGAATGTGTGGGTGAGAGAAAGGAAAAGAGGGTGTAGGGGCAACTCCATAGGAATCGAAGAACCTAGAAGGACTTCACTGTGTTTGCAGAGATGGGGAGAGTGAGAGATGTGGAGGACTGAGTTTTGTAGGGAGGTGGCCATCAGAAGTCCAAAGTGAGGTGTGTTCAATGGGAAATGCTCGCCAAAGTCAGAGGCTTCAGTGAGAGAGGGGCCTGGGCCTTGGAGGAGGGGCGTTGATGGTAAATCGGGGGCATTTAGAGCCAAGAGGCTGGATGAGATCATGAAGGCAGTGAAAGGAGTCAGAGGAGACACCTGGGGCCTGAGCGGTGATCTCTGTGTTGTAGAAGTTTACGGGAGAAAGCAAGACAGACATGGAACTGAAGTTATTTATAAGGCGTTTAGCTTCCCATCTTCAGAGCTCAGGATAGCACGGCGGTATTGCTTCTGAGATGGGGGTCTCTTGGTGGTTCCAGAGCTTTAAGAGGCGCCCAAGACGGGCTTGGGGTTCCCTTTCTGAAAAACCAGTCATGGAAGCCTTGTGGGGCGCGGATCTCCTCTGATGCAGGAGCGGCTGTTGTGAGTTGGCATTGAGCTGATGGCAACTCATGGTGTTAGAAGGAGTCCTGGGCTAACTCTGGTGGCCTAGTGGTAAGAAGCTGCACAGCAATCCCAGAGGCGCATGGTTCGAATCCACCGGATGTTCTGCTGGAGAAGGAGAGGCAATCTCCTCCTGTATCAGTCAGATTTGATTTGACAGTACACAACCAAAAAAAAAAAAATTAACTTTTTATTTTTTAAAAATTTTTATTGTATTGTTTTTAGGTGTACCATCAAATCAGATCTAACTGGTACAGGAGGAGATTGCCCCCTCCTTCTCCAGCAGAGCATCTGGTGGATTTGAACCGCATACCTTTGGGATTGCAGTTCAGTGTCTTGACACTAGGCCACCAGAGCTCCCTAAACAAAAAAAATTTTTTTAAAAAAAGGAGTCCTGGTGGCCTAATGGTCAAAGAATAAAGCCGGGGCTTTGAACCTATCAGCCACTCTGAGGGAGAAAGAGAAACCCCACGTGGTGTAACATGCACGGTTTAGGCATGCATGTTATCAGGAGGTGCTGGTCCTTGGAAGGACTGACGTAATCACCGCACTACGGGCTTGGGCATAGCAGAGACTGGGGGCCATGCCGGACAGGGCAAGGGTCTGGTCTGTTGGATAGAGTTACTCTCTGGTGGCTCAAAGGTCAGGAGCTGCGCTCCAACCTGAAGGTACTCAGTTCAAATCCACCAGCAGCTCCACAGGAGGCTCTCCTGTGGGAGTTACTGCCTCTGAGTTTTACTGCTGGAGGGTCAGCTATGATTTGGTTCCGAATCGATGGTACAGGCAGGAACCATTAATGGACTTGACCACACCTGACAGCACGAGCTGCTCTCTTCTCTCCTTCGGGGTCACTTTGGGTCAGAATCACTGCGATGGCGGCGGGTCTGTTTATCTTTGGTGCCGGTGGGCAGCCGGGGGGACTGTCGTGGAAACCAGTAGAGTGACCTGTGCCACTGACTGTCATCCTGACCCCCCTCCCATGATGGATTAGCCATTGAGTGGGGACCAAAAAGGATCCCCTTTGTCACCCCACTTCCTACTCATTGTAGGTTCATCAATAAGCTGCAGCCGGGCTCTGTGAAGAAGGTAAACGAATCAACTCAAAACTGGCACCAGGTAAGCCCAGACCCCACCCCTCTCAACCCCTTGTGCTTAAAGCCCCTGAGACCTCCCCTTGCCCTCTCCCCACCGCCCACCACTGACTGCCACCTGCACCCCACCAGCTGGAGAACATTGGCAACTTCATCAAGGCCATCACCAAATACGGGGTGAAGCCCCATGACATCTTTGAGGCCAATGACCTGTTCGAGAACACCAACCATACCCAAGTGCAGTCCACGCTCCTGGCCCTGGCCAGCATGGTGAGTTGGGGGGGCATGAACTGAGATGAGCCGAGGACCGCCCAGGCTGAGACACGACTGGGTCCCATGTGGCCCTGAGCCCAGCACTGGCTGGGGGGTGGGGTGGGGACGTAGGGTAGGTGCCATAGTCTCCATGGCAACCATGTGCCCCCCCAGAACCCTCCTCACTGGCCCCTGTCCTCAATCCCCCAGGCCAAGACGAAAGGCAACAAGGTGAACGTGGGAGTGAAGTATGCAGAGAAGCAGGAGCGGAAATTTGAGCCGGAGAAGCTCAGGGAGGGGCGGAACATCATCGGCCTGCAGGTACTGCCATCTTGGTCTCCGTGCTGAGCAGAGGGGCAGGCCTCGGTGCCAGGAGAGTACCCCAAATTCTAATATGGAAGGGGCCAAGAGACCCGAGAAGGCTGGAAGCTCCAAGCTCACAGTAGAGGGGTCTGCTTATCACAGTGAAACCTCGGGGATGGTGCTGGCAGAGGAGACTCAATCTTGCACCCCCTTCCACACCCCCACAGGAAATTAACCCAACTCATTGCTGTCAAGTTTGAACTGACTTGTGTCTCACACTCCAGCCGGTCTTCAGAAGCTAAAAATTAGCTCAGGAGGCAGTGCAACTCTTCACCCATTAGGCTGCCAGGGCTCCAAGCTGATATTTTGGTTTTAAAACTGTATGCCTTAGGAAGCTTGGTGGACGAATGGTTAAGTGGTTAAGTGTTGGGCTGCCATCCAACATGTCAGTAGTTTGAACCCACCAGCTGCTCCACAGATGAAAATGAAGCGGTCTGCTTCCCTAATGATGTATGGTCTCAGACACCATGGGGCGGTTCCACTCAGTCCAGTAAGCGTGGGCGTGAGTGGGAACTGGGTGTTACAAGTTGGAATGGACTTGAGGCCAGTGGTAAACCATGCCAGGCACAGTGAACTAGTTACTCGCCAACAGCCTGGGGTCGGGGTAGGTGCTGTTATGCCTTTATATGGATGAGGAAACAGAGGCCTGGACGAACTAGCTCACTGGCCGGGTTCCCCAGGTGATGAGTTCTGGCTGCCAGGTAGGAACTGACTCCATAGCTGACCCTCCGGTGGGTTTTCAGAGGCTGTAAATCGCATGGGAGGAGACTGGCCATCCTTCCACAGAGCAGCTGGTGGATTTGAACCATGTGCCTTTAGATTGCAGCCCAGCTTCTCATTAGGCCACCACAGCTCCCCAGCTGATGAGTAGAGGCTTGGATTTGAACCTTGGGATCCGTGTCCCCTGGGGGAAGTGACATGTCCCCTCTGAGCCCCAGGAACCTGTCTTTCAGTGAGGTAGAGGCAGGGCCTCATTCGAAGGCCGGGGAGGAGCCTGATGAGCTGGTCCATGGCTGTGGTGGCGCCGTGTAATACTCCGGGTCGTTCTTCCTGCTCCACAGATGGGCACCAACAAGTTTGCGAGCCAGCAGGGCATGACCGCCTACGGCACTCGGCGTCACCTCTACAACCCCAAGCTGGGCACGGACCAACCCCTGGACCAGGCCACCATCAGCCTGCAGATGGGCACCAACAAGGGAGCCAGCCAGGTGGGCACAGGGATCTGAGTGGGCTGTTGGGCCCGTGATCGTCCCACCGCCTGACCCTAGTGTCTGTCCCTCCACAGGCTGGCATGACGGCGCCTGGGACCAAGCGGCAGATCTTTGAGCCGGGCCTGGGCATGGAGCACTGCGACACGCTCAATGTCAGCCTACAGATGGGCAGCAACAAGGGGGCCTCGCAGAGGGGCATGACGGTGTACGGCCTGCCTCGCCAGGTCTACGACCCCAAGTACTGCCTGACGCCCGACTACCCGGAGCTGGGCGAGCCCAACCACAACCCCCACCCGCACAACTACTACAACTCGGCCTAGGGCTGCAGGCCGCCTGCTGTTCTCAGCCGGCCCAGCCGACCCTCGCCCCCTGCATGGCGCCCTCCAGCCCCCTGGCACCTGCCTGCAGGGTGAGAGTTTGGGGAGAGCAGCCTGGGGGGCCTGTGGGGAGGAAGGAGCCCTCCTCCTCCTCCCCGCAACACAACAGGGGCCAACTCTGAGCCGGATGTCCCCAACGGTGTCCCCAAACGATGCACTGCGCAAAAGGCTCTTCCGGCTGCCCCCAACTCCCTCACAGGTGGGTGCTCCCAGGACAACAAGCCCCCCCCAGCAAAGCCCCCAGAGCCCAGGCTCGGCCTGCCCCCACCCCGTTCCCACAGGGGAGCAAACTGCATGGCCAGAGACCCAGCGGACACACGCGGTTTGGTTTGCGGCGACCGGCATATGTGAACGTGACAGCGGCGTCTCGATCGCGAGCACTTTGGTTTTTCTACTTCACTGGAGCACAATAAACGGCTGTAAAATCACCACGGCCTCGTGTGGACCTGACGCGCACAGGGCCGCCTCACACACGGCCTCCCGTCCACACACCTGCGCAGGTGAACGTGCACACACACGTCCCCTGTCCCACACGGCCACTCGGCTGAAGAGAACACCCAAAATTCATCACACACAAAATTCACACCCACTTAGCACTCGGTACACACAGACGCCCACCCTTACCTATACGGGAAACACTACCCCGATGTGTAAAAACACCCTCCCTCCTGCGTATGCCAGCACCCAGGTGTAGCACTGTTTCCAGGGCCTGTGCCCACCACCATCACAGGGCCACCTCAGGAGAGGCTGAGGTTGTACTGAGAAAGCCCCCCAAAACCCTGGGACAGGTGGAGATGTGAATGGAGGTCTGGCTGCTGGCTGCCAAGTCCCTTCTCCTCCCTGAGCTTGTTTTCCCATTGGGGAAACGGGGCAGTGAGCATCTTGGGGTCACAGGGAAGCCAGCAGACAGGAGGTAGCAGTCCCCCCCTTTTTTTTTTACAGAGGTTTTGGATTTCCATTCATTCATTACGGCCATTTTCTCCCTGCCCACCCCTCCCCACCAGCTCGCTTCCCCCTCCGAAGAGAGAGAGAAAAAAAAATTCCTTCATTGGTATACAGTTCCCACGTCCCTTCCCCCCACCCCCCACCTAAGTCCCCTCTTTTAACAAAGACCTGGTGAGGTCCAGGCACTGGCGGGGGTGAGAACGGACAATGGAAGGATTCTGAAGGCCCCAGGGGCGGTGGTGGACAATGGAGGGATTCTGAAGGCCTCGGGGGCAGTGGAAGCCAGGGGAGTCGACAGAGTGGCTGGGGTTGGGGAAACTGGCACCCAGGGGTCTGAAAGCCAAGGGCCTGTTTCCACCAGCACAATGACTATACGCAGGGCGTGGCTGTACCTTGTGCCCGCCCTCCTCAACCTCGGCCTCTTCTGAGGGCTGAGGCCTGAGCTGGTCAGCAGCCCCGCATTCTTCTGTCTGTGGTTGTTGTGTGTTGTTAAAGAGTCCGAACCCACCCATAGCTGACCCTTCAGTGGGCTTTCAATCACATGGGATGAGACTGTCCATCTTTCTCCTGTGGAGAAGCTGGTGGAGTCAAACCATGTGCCTTTGGGTTGGCAGCACAACTCATTACAGCTAAGCCACGGGTGCTGCTGTGCGAGCCATGGCGGCAGGAGAGTGCCCATCTTCTCCTGGATCCTTTCGATCCTGCGCAGAGGACATGAACTGCGTGCTTTGGGGATTGCAGTGTAGCTTCCTTCTAAGGTTTCTGAGGATGCAGAGGGGATCACAGCACAGTGGCCAGCCAGCTCCCCAACTGGGGGCTGAACATGGAGATTTGAAGACAGACTGCATACACTGTGTGCAGGCGCTTGGTCCCTGGGGCCTTGTAAACTGGGTTCCAGCTCGCTCCCTCTGGGCTGGCTGCCGTGGGGAAGCTGAGCCGAGGAGAATCCATGCCTGGCCCAGGGCCCTGGCTCCAGGAAAACAGCACCATATTAGCACTTGGCCTGTGAGGAAGCGGGGAGGGCGGGCCCTTATGACAGAGCAAGAGCCCCTTTCCTACTGGACCTGAGTGCCCTCCTCGAGCAGGCACCTGCCCACCGCTGTGCCCTTTCTGCTGGTTCCTGGCAGGCCCCAAACTTACCTGGGCTCCAGAGGAGGTAGAGGGACCAGAGAGGAGCATGAGAGGACAGGGAAGACCCAGCCTGGTGGCCAGGGCTTTTGGGGGGGCCCAGGGGCTATCTTCCTGGGCTGTTCTTACCCCGTCTCTGCCTTGGGTGCATTTAGCACCCAAATTGTACTCCACTTCTACCCAGGACGAGGTCCTGGGGTCCTTCCTGCTATGACACCAAAAAACCAAACACAAGTCACCTGCCCTGAGGCTTCTAAGGCCAAGCACGAGGGCTACAGGAACCTCGAGTACCAGGTATCGAGACCCCCCCTTACCACGCACTGCGTTGCCCCTTCCTTGACACTCATCGCCACCTTCAAGTCCCGACCCCTCCAGGATGTTAGCTTTCTCCAGTCCCCTCCTCCCCCTTCCCGCCTGTGTTCTCACTCCTGGATGAGCCACTTCCACAGTGTGGCTGCCTCGGAACCTCCCTCCACGCCAACCGGTCTACTCGTAACAAAGAAAGAAGGTTCGGGATCCAGGTCTCCTTGGTTCAAGTCCCAAGGGTGCCACTTTCTGGATGTGGGACCTTGAGTTAGTGACCTCCCGGTCTCTGGCCTGTTTCCTCACCTGCTAGCCCAGGCTGACCACAGAAAACACAGGCATAGCTGGGATGCAGGGGACGTACAAGCCACTCCGGAGAGCAGCGCCTGGCATGGGCAAACTTCACGGGCTGGCTCCCTCGGGCTGTCCCTCCAGGAAGCCTTTCCTAACGCTTCCCCGGGGCCCCATTCGTCATTTTAACTGCCTGGCTGGTGTCTGTCTGGTTCGTTAGCATCCCAAGACCCAGCTTTGACCCTGCTTCACCCTGAATGCTTGCTGGATGAGCAGAATATTGGACAGTTTAAAAGAATGACCCTTCTCTCACATCTGAGAGGCTGCTGGGCTTTCTTGGAAATTGGGAGCTTCTCCACCTCCATCCCTGCCCCCCCTCGGCACAGAGGCCAACTCAGAACCCAGAACACAGAAGCACTCATTAATCTGGTATTGGCTGCTTTATTTAAGGGCTGGTGACTAACAGCTGTTCCTGACCCAGCCCCTTTCTCCTCTACAAAGGCAACTACACACGAACCATGGCATCCTGGTTAACATGGGTGGTGGGGTCCCTTGCCAGGGAGAAGACTGTGGGAGGTGGTGCCCAGCTCCAGGTCCAGGTCACAAGAGTCAAAGAAAGAACAAGGCCAGTTACTCTGGGCCAGGTGCTGCTGAGGAGGACCGGCTGGTGAGGTCTCCGCTGCAGCCTCGGCTGGACTTGCCCGTACCCAGGGATTCTGAGAAGGGGCCGCCATCAGCCCCCAAACAGGGGAGGCTCAGGGACCGGGGAGAAGGAAGTGAGTCAAAGGCTGAGGTCAGGCCAGGCCCCTCAGGTCCAGCAACCACACAACTCCATTCTGCGTCCACCAGCGCGCACCTACTCCACATCTGGAGAGCTGGGACTAGCCTGGACCCACACCCTGGACCCCTGGAATGTCTCTTGTTTGGTAACCAGTGGGTGGGTACGAGGGGTGGGCCTTCTGTGCTGTTATTGGTTGGCTGCTTCGCAGGCATCTATCCAATCGCTGTAAACGTCCACAGGTTCTGAGAGATCTGAGCAGAGGAGAAGGGCATTTAGGTGGCATTTCCTATACACCGCCCCCCCAGCAGTGTCAGGCCCGCCCCTGCCCCACACCCTGGCACCCTGTGCACTCCGCACAGTGCAGCCCTGTCCCATGCTGTCTCCACCCCAGAGAGGAAGGTTTTCAAACATACATGTGATGGGCGTCTGGAATTCCTCCAGGCACACGGTACAGGAGATGACGCCAGTGTTTCGGGCCCGGTCCCTGAAACAGAAGGAGCAAAGAGGTCTGTGCTTGATGAACCTCCACCACTGGGGGTTGTGGGGCCAGTCTGTCCCCCAAAAGAGAACAAGCTGGAGCCCAGGGGGAAGGAGTACCTCGACCCAGGGAGGGGTAGGGAGGCCCAGGTGCTGTGAGGTAGGATTGCTGGCTCTGATCCCCACTCACATTTTCACGTCACAAGACTTCTCGTGGTTACAGAAGGGGCAGGTGAATTGGGTCTCCAGGGTGCCGGTCATCTTCTTCTTGGGCGGCGGCTTCCTTTTTGACTTTCTGCGTCCCATGTCCTCAGGAGCGTGAACCTGTGTGTGAATCAGCAGTGTGTGAGACCCAGCCTGGATGCTCTAGAAGCAGGCTGGGAAGAGGGCCTGGCGGTCCACACGGCGAAGGAGGCCTGACATGGAGGTGCCCGAGCCTCCCGTGGGCAGGCAGAGCCCCAGGTCCCGGGCAGGGAGACAGTCACAGTGCTGAGAGCAGGCTCCTGCACCAGATGGTCTGAATTCTAACCTCAACTTCCCACCTGACCCTGGACAAGTTAATTCACGCTCTATGCTTGAACTTCCTCATTCAGAAAAGAGATGAGGCTGTTTGCTCTCTGAGGAGTCTTTCGAGGAAGACTGTGTAAAGGCACAGGCCTGATCCATCCACTGTTGCTAGGGAGGCTGCCAGGAGACCCAGGATCAAAGGACAGGAGCCAGGAGCGCAGGGCCACCCAGAGTCCTGGTGCTCAGGAGCTGGACACCTTATCCTGGCTGGGTCTCTTCTTGGGGGAATGTGCAAATGCCACATGAGAGAGTCACACTCGTGGGATGGGACAGAGCTTTCAGATGGGCCACCCAGGAGAGGCTTCTAGGCACAGAAGTGGAGGAAAAGCATCTTGAGTAGATAAAACATGAATGTGTGTGCGGCAGGTGTTGGAGGGGCACCAGTGTTTGGGGACAAGAGTTAAGGATGTGGATGGGAGGGTGAAGAGGGAGATTAAAAACAGGCAGGAGGGTTTCCAGTGTTTGGGTGGATCCTGGGTGCTAGAGGAGGGGGAAGATGAAATCACTTTCAGTGTCTTTAGAAACTGAAGAATGAGACAAGTCTGAATAAGGTCAGAACTGGGGCAGGGCTGTTTGGGATGGAGAGACGGCAGGTGGGTAAGAGACGGTGAGGAACAAGAGAGCACGTGAGTGTGCTAAGCTTACGTGTAATGGTCCTGAACGACTGCAGGTTTCTGGAGGTGGACACAGTTGGGAGGGCAGGGAGGGAGAATAGCATGGTTCTCTGAAACCCAACAGGACAGAAAGAACAAGGTGGATGGGGAAAAGTGATGGGTTCAGGGGTAGATGCCCTGATGGCAGCTGAGTACCAGCAAGTACCTACGTACAGCTTCCCAGGCCAGGTGCTGGGCTCAGGACTTGGCATCTGCTACGCCTGACCCTGCCAAGCCCCACGCCTGGCACTGCTTCTAGCAGAGGTTCATTCCTATTTATCGATCGATCACTGGGGATGTAACATCCTCACTATGAACCGAGGAGTCTCCCAGTTCACTGAGTCAATGGGAGCAGCTGGAGAACAACCACCAGCCCCAGGACCACCACTGGGCCTTCCTTTCCTGGTTCTTTGCTGGTTCACAGCTCTCCACACTTGCTCTGTTCCTTCCTATTCTTCACTTGCTGACCCCAACAATTAGTCTTTACTTCTTAGGGCACTTGTCACAGTTGGTCCCTCCTCTGGCCTTTCCCAAATGAGTCTCAGAACCAGCTATTATTCTAGCTGCTGTGATTCTTTGAAGTATCCTTGGACGCTTCTTCACCATCTGGTTTCTCTAAAAATAAAGAGCGCTTAACCTCTGTAGCCTTGTCTTAATAGTGATGGCTTCCAACTCTAGCTGCTCATTCTTCCCTGAACCATATCCGTGCCCATCTACCTGCCTCCAACACACCTCTTTGTGACATCTAATGGACATGCCCCAAACCCAGCTCTTGACAACTCAGCCTGTTGCCCCAAAGCCTCCTGTGTCTCCAGTGATGGCAACTACATCTTCCCAGGTGTTCTGGCTAAAAAACTCTGGACTCGTTCTCAATTTTTCTCTTACACCTCTTAGCTGACCCTGCCACTCTACCTGTAAAATACATCTAGAATCTGATCATCAACAGTTTTTCACTAGCCTCCATCGCCACCCATCCGTCATCCTCCAAACGTAAATTTCATAAACATAGGGCTTTTTGTCTTTTCTTGGTTCAGTGATTTATCTCCAGGGCTTAGAATTGCTCTTGGCACATTGCAGGCACTCAATAAATATTTAGAGTTAACCAACAAATGTTAATCCTTCCATTAAACCACAGCAATGCACCAATAAGCAAATTAGACAGAGTCTGTGTGGAGGATGCTTATAACATCCAGGTGGAAAATGATAGGTACACAATAGGTAAACTAATACAGGAATTAATTTCAAAATACTAAGTGCTATGAAGTAGGAAAAAAAGCAGGGCTAAGCTATTCCTTCTCAAGGCATGTTCCTTCAGATAAAGGTAGAGAGAGAACGCCCTGAGAGTCTTCTAAGGTGGGACCCACTGATGAGCACGGGAACCTAAATAAGGCAATCCAGACAGATGAGAAGGTCAAGTGCAAAGAAAGACGCTGGGGTAGGGCAGCACCGGAGTGAAGAGTGGTGAGATGTGACAGAAGACAAACAGCCGACACCCTGAATGAATAAGGTTTAGATTGCTCAATGCTGAATCCCCAGCACAAAAGACGAGATCTCTACACACATTAAGCGCTCAATAACTATTTGTTGAATGACTAAATACCCTTCTAATAGATTCTGATTCAAAGACCCTGTAGCACACGGTAGAACTACCCAGAGAGTTTCCAAGAGTGCGGATCTTTTAAGGTAGGTTGCTGCTGTCTTTTTCCCTCGGAGTGGTTGGTGGGTAAGATTTGATTTCTTAAGATCAGGATGGAGGAGGATGGGTTCCCGATTCTCCTTGTTTAAACCTCGAATGCCACGCCCACCCCCCCCCCGGAACAGCAGAGACACCCCAGATGCCTCGGCCAGTCGTTAGATCGGTAGTAGTCAAGCGCGCCAAAAGGAGCGGGAAGAAGGACTTAAGAGACAGCCTGTGGATGCTCCCTGGAGGCTCACAGGGGCTTCGGTGTCGCCTCTTGACAGCCGTCTGCTGCAGCCAGGCCCTGGAGCATTCGTGTTTACCAGGTTGGGGAGATTAAAGCTCCCCGATGGGCCATCGCCCAGTCCCGGAGCCCTCGCCACCTTCTCCAGGACCCCCTGAGCGCCCCTGCGTGGATCCAGGTAGGCCCCAACGTCCGACCGCCCGCGCGAACACTTACCTGCACTCCCCTAAGCTCGCTGCAACTGTTCTGTTCACTCGGAGACAGCTACTGCTATATCCGGCTCCTGGAGGAAGCGGAACCCCCACCCCTCTCCTACGCCCCGCCCACTCCCTGCCTGGCCCGCCCACCGGTCGGCCCCCTTCCCTGGCGGCGTATTTTGCGCATGCGTACTGGCGTCCCTGCTGGTATTTGAAATGCTGGTGGTACAATTTGTTAAGAAGTGGAGGGTCATAGACCCTCAACAAGATTGATTGACACATTGACTGCAGTGATGCGTATCGGAGATGATGAGGATGGCACAAGACAGGACAGGGCAGAGTACAGATCAACTAGGTGGTGGCTATGTGGACTACTCAGGGCACCTAATAACTGACATCCCGGGGAGGCTCCCAGTGCGCCTGCTCGAGAATGTGCGTGTATTTAATAGCGGTCGTGGCGGCGGCCACCTAAGTCAGCCCCTAAGAATGACCTTTCTCGCAATTCGGTCGGTGATTCAGGCCGTACTAGAGCTGGGGGGAGTTGCTTCCCTTACAGGCACTTTCTTCGGGTCATTTCTTTTGTTTTCTTCCCTCGTTCAAGTCCAGATCCTCACCTGCCTATTTGAGTCTCCCTCTCCTCCAACACTATTCAGATACCCCAGTGCTAAAGTATAAAAAAATACCTGTAGGGTTACAAATGAGGATTAGGAGAAAGCTTCGGCAGAGAGCCTGTATTTACTGGCTTGCAGGTGAACATCTATACAATTCTCTGGGAACTAATCACTCATAGCGACCGTATGAACCACAGATCTGAACCTTGCAGTATCCCGTGCCATACTCACCACCTCCTATATGCCCATTGCTATCGTCACTGTCAGTCCATCTTACTGAGGGTTTTCCCATCTTTCTCTGGCCCTCTGTCTTTCCCAGCATGATATCTTTGTTCAAGGACTGACCTCTCCTGACCACATACCCAAAGTTTTCTTGCCCCTAAGGAGCATCCTAGTTGCACTTTCTCCAAAATAGGCTTGCTTATTGGGATTGAACTGGGATTGGTGGCGTGGCTAAGACCTTACAATTTAGTGAAGGGGATGGACTTGAACATAAATGAACGTGACCGTTTGTATCACGAAGGGACCTTTGGCCATGGAAAATCTGAGACAAGGAGAGATGTGGATCAAGCCCCTGGAAATGGGAGTGTGGATGGAGCTCAGGGAACAGATTTGAATGTGCAGTTGAGAGTCATGACCTTGTGGAGGCTGTCGAAAGCCTGAGGGTCACCAGAGATCCCTTGGTTTTGAGAGGGAATGTGCAATGTACAGCAGAAGAAAGCGGAGAAGAGACCGGGAGCTCCCTACCCCAAAAGGTTGTTTGGAGGAAGAGTCAGCTAAAGAACTGGACCAGCAATGATATAAAGGGAGAAAGAGGGGGTGCCATATCAGAAGCCTTGAAAAGAAAGTATTTTCATAGAAGGAGAGAATGGCATTGGAAAACGTGGCGGAGGGTTTGCCTAAGATGGGGAAAGAAACTTGGCAAGTGTTGGATCATTGGAGACTTTGATAAGACTATTTCATTCTTCAGGAAAATAATTTGTAATAAACTGTATTCCAGATGTTACTATGTGCCCTCCAGTGCATACACTCCAAGTTTCTTCTTGGAGGCTAAGATTTTGAAGCTCCATCTCACATACTTCGGGCATGTGGCTAGGAAGGAATGGTCGTTGGAGAAGGACATCATGCTTGGAAGGGTCGAGGGACAGCGCAGGAGAGGAAGACCCCAAATATTGGTTCAGAAACTGGGGCAATGGGGGTAAGTGTGTCGGAGTTAGTGAGACTGGCTCAGGACAGAGCTGTTGTACATAAGGTCACTATGAGTTGTGGGTGACTCAATGGCACATAACAAACAACAACAACAATAACACATTGCATAGGAGGAGATTGTCCATCTTTATCCCCCTAGAGCTGGTG